AGCTTTTCCCCTATATTTTCCCTATTTTCCCCTATTTCCGGTAACATCTGAACTAGGTTTTACAATCGGAATTTGTCTCTGTCACTGCATACAGAATCATAATTATTCTAAAAAGTGCCCAAGTGGACTACAGTCATTTGTGCATTCTTTGCCATTTGTATCCTTTGTACAGTTTAATTGTCTTAATAACTCATGGGATGTTTCTTCTGGTCAAAAGTCCATTTTTCTTCTCCCATCTATAGGTTCAACACTTGAGCCTGCCAAATCCCCTGCAAATCACAGAACTGTTTCTGGCCCAAAGCAGAAAAACTTGCCATTTCAAATGTAGTTAGGCAGGATACAGAATCACTAAGGATAAATGGTGCCAGCAACAATCAGCTTCCATAAAAAAAGTTGCAGAGAAAAATAGTGCACCTTTCACCTCTATGTAAGTCAGAATAGTTGAGTTATTGTGAATTTAACAAGGCTTTTTAAAAAAATACTAGAAACCTGTAGTAGTAAAAATCGGCTGGCTGGTTAAACTAAATATTTGAAATTCAATTATAGTGCCTCTTTCATTTACCTTTCCTTTAGGTTTCTGTTTTTCAATCTGTTGCCTTCTCTGTATTCTACCTCCTCGTCTGCAAGTTTACTGCCTCTTAGCTTCTCTGACTTCCAAGATAATTTCTCAGTCTTCAGACTACACCATTATTTTGGTCTCTGGGAAAAGGGTACAGTTTTAATCCCAGCTACAATGATAGCTTTTACAATTGGATTGTAAAGATATCATCAGTCTTCTCCCTGAATACTGGGGATGCTCCTGAATATTCCTTGAAGAGCTCAAAACAGTGTCTATAAGTCTTCCTCTCTCCTTCTAATATCTGAACTGCCATTTTCTTCTGTATCTCTTCATTGCCATCCAGAGGTCATCCAGATTTTTTCAGATGTACTGTATTCATCCAGATACAATAATTTTAAACTTATATTTTCACACTGTTGGGAGGCTGAAAGCCTGAAAGAGAATGAATGGCTTTAAGCTAGGTAAAAATTTGAACTGAATTTTCCTCCATCCCAACTCTATACTTGAATCACCATATTGGCTCTCCACTTGCCACAGTATTAATATTCTCTTAAGCATTTACGATTCTTGTTTACCGGTGAAAATCCCTTCTAGTTTTCTGAACGAATTGTTTTAAGCACCTTGCCTAGATCTAGATATTCAGAAAAAAGGCTTTCATCAAATGCCATCCTTACAAAGTTTTATTGTGAAATAGTCTTATTTCTCAGAAGGCTTCTTCACACATGACACTTTCCCAAAGCATACAGGGACTTTCTAGAACATGTACTCAGCAAACTAAACATTGCAGGGTTCATTTCATAAGTGGAGGTGTTTGTGTTTTTCCATTACATGGAGATTTCTCTGTGTGCAAGCAAAATCTTCATGTGCAAAGACCTTAGCTTTTGCTGCTCCTCTCATCTAGCTGTTGCTAGTAGTAACAATTAAAAGTAAAAATCGAAGCATAAGCTCCACCTAGAGGCAACAAGGTAGGCTAGAAAGAGAGGATAATTAATTACCAAGGAAGGATGGATGCTCTGCTGGGTCATATCTGACAAAGAATGGACATTTCAGTGTCCATTAAGAGTTGTCAGGAGAATTAGCTGTAACTAATTACTCTCAAGCTTAACGTTTGAGTCATAATTTTCAAGATGGCTTAGGCTCCAGCTGCTGTCTCTTGTTTTTCATACACTTCATCGTGCCCACTCACCAAACCAGCTTTCCCCAACCAGATGTCCTGCACATACATATATTCTCATATATTCTCCAGCCAGTATGGCAGACATCTAGTTGGGGATCAATATATTTACAGGACACAAGATTAGGGAAGGCTGAACCAAACTAGACCAAGCAGTACAGAAGATATAAGGAGTGGTTTTGCCAACAGCTATTTAGGAGTCCCTGGTCAATTCCTCATACACCAACTCAAACTAGCTTCCTATTAACCTATCAATAATTATAGCTCTTCCTGTAGCAAGACCGTCAACATATAAGACACTGAAGTGATCCTCTGTCTCAACTCCAGTTTGGGCCTTAATTCAATCTCAATCTTGTAATAAAGATATATATCATACCCTCTTATTATCTTATTTTCTCCAAGGTGATATACCCAGTTCTTTCAACCCTTCCCCATAGGACTAACTTCCAGATCCATTTGTGCAATAAAAATAAAAATTGGTGGGAATGAACGTGCATTTTTTTTTTTTTACTGCAATGCCCTAGATCAGTGTTTTTCAACCTTGGCAATTTTAAGATGTGAGGACTTCAGCTCCCAGAATTCCCCAACCAGCATGCTGGGAGTCCACACAACTTAAAGTTGCCAAGGCTGAAAAACACTGCCCTAGACTGTAGAAGAAAGGCCAGTGCATAATCAGTCAGAAGATGGCATGAATCACATTGGACAGATATTCACCTGCACACTGCTGTTGTTAGAGTGAACCACACATACACACAAATAGATAAAAGACAGAAAGTGCTTAAATGTTATTCATGTATGCAGTACAGAATGTTAAAAACCACTCTTTGCAGGAGAATAAACCAAGGTTAGCTCCAAGGACTTCCTGACTCAGCAATGAACGATGAAAACAATTGGTTTAAATTTCCCATTGGTACAGAATAATATTAAATTGGCAGCAGTTGTGCTTCAGCAGTTTCTGGCAGGACAACATCACTGAACTAAAGGGGCTCCTCTTCAGGAAGGCAGACTCTGAAAAGTAAGATGGCAGAAAATTAGCAACTTGCCATTTATGTCAAACAAAGAGGAATGCACTGAACAGATTTGTCCAAGCT